GCTGGGGCTGGTGGTGAGGCAGAGGGAAACAGGTGGCCGGGCAAGAGAAACGGCATCTAACCTCTTCAGGTAAGGGGGAGGGGTGGAGTGAAGGGCTGTGGGGGAGCAGCGGCCTCAACAGACCCGATCGCCCCCGGGAATCAGGAGTTTGGGGGATGGGGCGGGTTCACTCCTGCCTTCAGAGGGCTGCAGGTAAGGAGGGTGGCGACTTAGAGGCCAGGCTGTGGACCCACCCGTCGCTGTCACAGTCCTCCCGTTGTTCATCGATTTGCTCGAGCGGGCCCAGTAACGTCTCCATTGTGAGACTTGTTGTTACTGTGTTTGGCATAGCGAATACATCACAGGGAGCTTGCCAGGCTAAACCATGCAGGCGAGATACTCTCGGTAGCTTGCCGGGCTCTCCGAGAAGGGCAGAGGAATCGAACTTGGGTCGGCAGTGTGCAAGGCAAATGCCCTACCCGCTGTGCTATCGCTCCAGCCCCGTACCAGGACCCACCCGTAGAATGGAAAAACCCAGGGAGGGCCGGAAACGCAGCTCAGCCCAGCCTGAGTGACACCCCTCGGGTCCCCACACAGCACACAAACTCACAGCTCCTGGCCCAGGGAAAGGGGGTGATGAGAGGGTGAGGATCCGGAGGAGCACGGTGCACGGAGGGAGGGCGTGGGAATGAGGAGGGACAGGCCTTCAGGCCCCAGGGTCGCTCCCCCCAGCCCCCGCATACCTGGGTAGTTGCGGCAGCCACCGGCCGTGCTGCCCCGGCGCCACGTGCCCTCGTACAGGGTCGTGTTCCACTTGCGGATGCTGCGACTCTTGAGTGCGTCGGGGGTCAGGTTGCAGATTTCCAGGCGCGTGAACTCCCGCATGAAGTCCCGGAAGGACATCCTGGGGGGCAGGCGAGGGGCAGGGCTGAGCTCAGGTCCCGAAGCCGGGACGCACGCGGGGTGCCAGGCGCCAAGGTGGGGGTCCCCCAAACAAGGGGGCACTCACCAGAACTCCCCATCTTCCATCTTGATCCGGAGCTGCTCCCGCTCATAAGGGTCCACGTTGTTCCACTCCATGGAACTGCAGGGAAAAGGGGCGCTGAGGGGGGCAAAAGTGGGGGCGCACAGACCTGCCCGGCACCCCCAGCCCCGCCAGGAGCCCTCTACAAGGTCAAAGTGAATCCCGGCTTGGGAGTGTCTTATGAGGACAGAGTCAGATGCCCTGAGGATGGGCACAGGGGCTGCCAGCCCTGAGCTTGGCCAAGGGAACCCCCCCAGGAGCTGACTCCTGAGCCCACCCTACAGCTGGCAGAGCCCCGAGCAGGAAGGACAGGAGCCCCCCAACCCCAGCTCCCTGGCCAGCCCCCCTCACCCATCACTCCAGGCTCCGGTCCACTCCACCTCTCCCCAGGGGTTCCGCATCCGGATCAGGTTCACCATCTGGCCCTGGTAGTTCACCTGCGGGCGAGGGTGCCCATCAGCACCTGTGATACCCCTCCCCCTCCCTCCTGGGTGCCCAGCACGCTGCCAAGGGGAAGCCGGGTGAGGCCTGACCGGGAGGCAGCATTGATCTTGGGGTTCCAGAACCAGGCGGGACAAGACAGGCCCCAGCACTGGGAGAGAGCAGGGGGCAGACACAGGGGGTGGGGTGTCCCCGGAGCTGGTGGGTACCTGCTTGGCCCCAGTCACTGAGTAGGCATGGCCTTTCACCAGCTTCTTGAAGGTGATGGCCTCCATGTCCAGGACGCTGGAGATCTGCAGGAAGATGGTATTGTGGGCAATCCCTCAGAGGGTCTACCCATACCCCACATCCTGGGGTCTGCCCACCCCCCACAGTCCTGGGGTTGACAGTCCCCTTTGCCAGCTTGGGAGTGGCAGGCCGTGCCCCTGACCCTATGGAGTCTATTATCCCAACATGTAGACATGAGCCCTGAGAAGGGGGGCCCGAGGTACCCCAATGTCGCTCTCAGGCCCTTTACTCTCACTGCCTTTGACCAGAGCTGGCCAGGACCCTGGGAACACGCATCAGTCATGGACACCATACATACACACACACACACACACACGCACACACACCGTGGCCACCAACCAGGAGGGCCTCATGAGAGGGACAGAGGGGCAGGGAGAAGAGACTAAATGTCACTAAGGTTGTTGAGAGGGGGCAGAACAAGTGGGGGTGGAGCCCAAGGTCCCGGGTGGAGGGCCCAGTGAAGAGCTGAGGTGAGTGTTGGGGTGGTGACCCCCACCACTGGGTAGGCCAGGCCCGGGCTGGGGTGCAGGGGGCTCTCACGTCGATGGAGCAGCCCAGCAGGGAGCCTCTCTCCAGGGCCTTGAGGATGATCTGGTAGAGGTCGCTGGGCGCCTTGCGCAGCTCATACCACTCGGTCACGCCGCCGGTAAAGTCCTCGAAGCCCTCCGAGGTGCTGCCCCCCGACAGGGCCTCGTAGCTGCCATTCACTCTGCAGAGGGCGAGCTGGTCAGCGCCAGGAGAGCGGGCAGCGCAGCCCGGCAGCCCGGCGCATGCGTGGCGCCCACTCACTTGGCGTAGGCCTTCTCCAGCAGGGCGCTCCAGAACTCGTTGCCCTGCGCCGAGTGCACGAACACGAGCTTCCCGTCCTTGGTGGGCAGCAGGTCATCCACCACCACGTCCACCCACTCCCCGAACTGCCACAGCTGCAGGAGGGTGGGGTGGAGGGGGGGGTGGTCAGCGAGCGAGCAGTGAGGGCCACCGCATCCCGGCCATCTTACTGGGCACAAAGCTGATCCCACAGCACGTGACCTGGCCTAGCTACTGCCTCCCGCGGGGAGCCTCAGTTTCCCCATCTATAAAGAGGAAGAGGGAGCCGAATCTCGGGGTGAAGCTGGAAGGCAGCTCTGGGCCATTTGGGACCTTCAGAGGACCTTCAGGGCTCGGCCTTGCCCCGGGCCTGTGTTCCCCAGAACCGGCTCTGCCCCCCACTTTTCTCTTCCATCCTGAGCCTGGGGGTCGGGGACACACATTCAAGTAAGTGGCTTGCGGAAAGGAAACGTAGGTGCTTCCATCGCAGGAAGGGCGAGGTTTGGACTGAGGAGGGAGCCAGTGGGGGCTGGGGAGGGGTGGTCAGGGGGGGAGGGGCGGGGCAGGGGCGGAAGAACAAAGAGGGAAAGAGGGGCGGGCCCTGGGGGCGCGGGTCGAAGGGGCGTGTTGAACGGGCCAATCAGAGACCTGGAAGAAGCGGATTGGAGGAGTAAGGCAAGGGGGCGGGGAGAAGGGCGAGGCCACACCCCTGCGGACCGGCGGGCGTGGCAGGTGCGGCACTTGGCCAAAGTAGGTCGCCCCGGGTCCCTGTGGTCCTGCAGGCCATCTCCTTGGCAGCGGGTGCGGAAGGAGGCAGAAGGTGGTGGCTCCCGGAGTCCCAGGGCCGGGGGGGGGGGCGGGGGTCTCATTCAGAGCTGTCCGGGTGCGGCCCTCCCAACCCCAGCTCGCGGGGAATCTATCAGGGTGATCTAACGAATGGGCGCCGTGGGCAAAGCAGGCAGGACAAGCTAGTCCGAGAGACGTCACCCGAGGCTTCTCTCTGGCCACTGCCCAAGTGCAGGCGGGGGTTGTGGGGGCGGGTGGGGAGATCATGCCAGGGGTGGGATGGAGCTCCAGGGAAGGAGCGGATCGTCTGGGATCTCCCCAACTGGCATGACAGATCTTTCTGTTTTCCCTAGCCCTTTCCCCACGACATGCACCACCAGCCACCCAAGAAGCCTGCATGACTGATTCACACAGGACAAATCTGGGGGGCCAACGGGAGATCAAAGGTCTCCCCCACACAGCTCACTTCAGACAAGGGTGCTGGGCGCCCCACCACCTGGCGGCCTGCTGCGGGCCCTCAGGCCCCTCACCTGGAAGTGGAAGATTCCAGCATAGCCATCCTGGAAACTCTGGCCATGCGGGACCACCCGGTGCAGGAGAGTGTCGTTGAGGGTCAGGGAGGCGATGGCGGCCAGGAGCCAGCAATCCCCTGGGTGGAGGTAGGGGACACAAGTGTCAAAAGACCTCGCCCATCTTCTCTGCACCATTCAGGAGAGCCCCTACTGGGGAAAGCCGGGGTTCCCTGGGTGGGGTACCCCTCACTTTACAGAAAAGACCCAGGAATCTGGGCAAACCAGCCACAGTGCTGCTGGCCAGAGCCTGTCTGGGCTTGCAGGAGGGAGGGGCTGGGCCAGAGCCGGAGGAAGGAGCCCCGGGGAACTAGTGCGGGAAAACCGGGAACCCCCAGCCTACCCAGCGCCCCCTGGCAGATGTCCGTGCGGGTGGCTCCATCCACGATGAACTGCGGGTTTGACAGCATCTCCTGCAAGACAACCGGAGATCTGTCCTTGACCCAGTCTCCCCACACCCCATTTCCGACCAGGAGGATCCTTCCTGCTCCAGTCAGTGGGCTTGCCTCCGCCTCCCCCACCCCTCCTGCCTGGGGTGGTCCACCCCTCCTGCCTGGGGTGGTCCTCTCACCGTGGGGCGCTTCCACCGGATGCCATAGGTTTTGGAGGAGTTGGGGCCCAGCTCCTTGAAGCCCAGGCTCTGGGCTATGGGGGGGAAGGCGTCATCTCGGAAGAGGGCCCCGCTCTGCAGGCACTGGGCCCGCAGCTGCTCGAAATCCTGGCCCAGGTACTTGATGGCGTTTTCATGGCGGCCCAGGCCCAGCTCCTTGGCCCGCTGCTTCTGCACTTGCGCCGACACCCCGGTGCAGTACACGGGCTGGATGATCTCCTCCGCCATCCTGCACACAGAAGCGCCAACTTGGAACCCCGGCCCCTGCCCAGGCCTGGAACTGGAGTGTCCCCTTGCTGCTGCAGTTCCTTCTGCCCCGGGCGTCCCTGTCCCCTCGGCTCCTCTCCTAGGACCCAGGAGGGAGTGGAGAGGCCGGGCCCCACCTCCCTGCCCCAGGCTCCAGCCTGCTCCAGACTTCTCCTTTGTCCTGCGGCAGGCCAGCAGCTAGGTGGGGCTCGGCGGAAGGGCCAGAGTGACCCAGGGACCCCGGGGGAGGTCACAGACCCCGGGGGCAGAACTTGGATTCTTTGCCTGCCTGCTCTGGGCTCTCCCGTCCAACCAGGATCTCTCCTCCGCGCCGGCTCCTCACCCCGCCTGGGAACCGCAGAACTCCCGGCGGACGGGGATCCCCCCCCTCCCCAGGTCCCTGCAGCGCGCTGGGTGCTCGGGACCCCGGGGATCCCGGTCCCTTCGCGCGCCGCCTTCCGCCAGCCCAGTCCCAAGGGGCGCGCCAGTCGGGGCGGACCCTGAGCTGGGCGGCGGCCCGGGCAGGGGTGCGGTGGGGGGGGGGGGGTCAGCCCCATCCCAGCACGCAAGGCCCGGGATCCGGGCAGCCCCCCGAGATCGCCCGGAACCTGGGTGCCGCCACCCAAGTGCTTACCTGGGGGAGGAGTGTTGGGGGCCCGCTGCGACCTGCGCTGGCGTCCCCGGTGGCTGCTCCGGGAAGGGCCCAACCAGGAAGCGCGCAGTTCCCCGCCCTCCTCCCCGCGCTCCTCCTCCTCCTCCTCCTCCTCCTCGGCCGCCGCCGCTTCCTCGGCGCTCCTTTATCTCGGGCACCCTCTGCTCCGACTCCCCGAGTGTCCCCGGCCCTCCCTCGGCGGGCCGGCCGCCAGCTCCGGCGAGGACAAATTAGCCGGAGGCAGCGCTGTCCCCGGGGAGGGGCCGGCGCGCGGCGGGGACGCGAGGGCACCGCGGGGAGGCCGCGCCCGCCGGGCCGGGGGTATTTTTAACCCGCGGCCTCGGCTCGAGTTGCAGGGCGGCGTCCCCGAGGGCGCCCCCGGGCCCCCCCCAACTCCGATCCTCCCCCGCGCGCAGCTGTGCCCGGCCCTGCCCCCGCAGCGCCCCCAGAGCCGGGCCGAGATTACTCGGGCTGCGGCAGCTTCCCCGAGCCGGGCCGGGCGATCGGGCAGCGGACCCGGCCGGACGCGGTCCCCGGGATCCCACCCAGCCCGGCACCCCGCGGTCCCCGCAAACCCCGCGCCGGGCGGCGCAGTTTCGGGGGTTCCCGGCGGGGCGAGGGGCAGCGGCCCCCCCCTTACCCCATTCCTGCTGGCCGCGTGACCTTGGAAGAGTCTCCGCCCCTCCCTGCCTCGGTTTCCCCTCCCGCGCAGCGTGTGGGATGGAGGAGGCGGAGAGGGGGCCCGGGTTCCTCCCCCGACCTGGGGACTTTCTCGGACCCGGTCTCTTCTTCCCCCCCACCCCACCCGCCCTCAGCGGCTCTGGGCTGGATGGCAGAGACTGTGCAGGACCAACTCAGAAGGGAGATGGGATTGGGGTCCTGTCTCCTGAGGGGCGAGAGGTGGGAGGAGACCCAAGTGGACCCTCAAATCTGGCTTGGCACCGACCTTGGGGTCTCCTACCCAGCAGTGGTTGCATCTAGGGGATCCAGGGGAGCATTTTGTGGGGTTCCAGTTCACAGCCCCTCAAAACTAGCTCACGGACACTGGTGTGATCTGACCCCAATCCCACCCCACAACAGGGGGGGGCCCCACAGACCCCAGGGCCGGGCGGGGCAGGGCGGGGATCCCTCACCTGGTGACTCAGGGCAGGCCCTGCTGACTGGGACTGGGCATGGGTCAGCCTCTGTGGGTCCAGTGCCCACAAGAGCCCTGGCAAGGTTGACACTGCCAACACCCATGACTGAGGCAGAACAGCCCCTTTGGGAGCAGCTCCCTGCTCCGTGCTGTGGATTAAGAAGCTGAGTCCAGATGGATGAGTAATTTACCCAAGAGTTAATTTGCCCAAGAGGAGCGTGCTGGCAGAAAGATGGCAGGTGCAAAGGTCCTGCGGCAGGGGCTCTCCCTACCCTGGAGGAAATTCAGGGGTGTCTGTTCCTGGATGGCAGGAGGTGGGGAGTGGCAGGCATAGCAAGGCCACCTCTACCCCAACACTTACCTCTCCCCCCCACCCCCCGTGTGCAGAGTCCTCAGAATCCTGTTCACACACGGGCCACTCCTGCCGTCTCCACCTGATTGTTTCACACTAACCACATCCTGTGTGTCCCCAGTGCAGTGTTCACCCAGGTAGGACAATAGAGGCCGAGGCAGCTGAAGTGGGCTGGCAGCAACAATCAGCCCCTAATTGGGAAGGAGGCACCTACTGGAAACTTCTTTAGTCAGAACCTAGAGTGGGCATGAATCAGAGAAAGGGGTCCTGGGGGGCAGCTCGGGGAACAGTCTGAGCACAGGGAGGATGCAGTGAGTTCCCAGAGCAAAGAGGAGGGAGGAGGAGCTGGATGAGGGCTGGCTGGGGCGGGAGCTGGGTGCCCAGGAAGAAAGCAGAAGGTGGATCTGAACGTGTGAAGGTGGAGGCAGGCCGCAGGGGAGGGCCTGAGAGACGGGACAGCAGCTGACCTAGGCTCAATCCCCCCAGCACCACACCCGGTCCCCTGAGCACTGCCAGGTGTAAGCACTGAGCACCCTTAGGTGTGACCCCCCCAAAAAAACAAAAAACAGAACAAAAATGTAGCAAGGGTTGCTGGGAATGTGGTTGGGTGCCAAGCGCTTGCCTTGCAGGGGGGGGTACTGGAAGAGTGTATGACTGAAATCCAACATGTGTCTATCACTGTGATTCAATTAAATATATATATGGATATGTGGGTCAAAGGGCCCTGAGAGATAGGACAGTAGGCAGGACCCTTGTCTCCCCTACAGTCGATCCTGATTCCAACCCCAGCACCTCTCAAGTTTCCCTGAGCACTACCAGGAGTCACTTCTGAGCACAGAGCCAGGAGTAGCCCCTGAGAACCCCCTCAGTAGGACCCAATCCCACATTCAAAGTTTTCATTTATGATTTTGCTTTTTGGACCTCCCCTTAACCTGATTTTATGGTGCTTTACTTTAGTGTACCTCCAAGAAATGAGGGTGTCTTTGGGGGTGGAGAAGCACACCCTATTATGCAATGGGTCTGGGGCCACTCCCAGTGGTGCTTGGAGACCACCAGGAATATCAGGGATCAAACCCAGGGCCTTGCCCGTGCAAGGCACATCCTCCACCGTTTGAGCCACATGCCAACCTGACATTCCTTTTTACAGAATCCTCTAGCACTCAAAAGGTTATGTAGACTATAGACCAAACATGATTGCCACTCAATGCCTCTTTTGCAAACCACAACACCCAAAAGGAGAGAGAGAACAAAAGGGGACGCCCTGCCACAGGGGCGGGGTGGGATGGGGGGGTTGGGGGGTGGGAGGAATACTGGGAGCACTGGAGGTGGAGAATGGGTACTCATGGAGGGATGGGTATTTGATCATTTGCTTGAGCGGGCCCAGTAACGTCTACATTGGAGACTTTGTTGTTACTGTGTATGGCATATCGAATACATCACGGGTGGCTTGCCAGGCTCTGCCGTGCGAGCGAGATACTCTCGGTAGCTTGCCAGGCTCTCCGAGAGGGGCAGAGGAATCGAACTCGGGTCAGCCATGTTGGCTGCGTGCAAGGCAAACGCCCTACCGCTGTGCTATCGCTCCCCAAGCACAAAATTTGTAAGTCTACAACTGTACCTCATGGTGTCTCACTAATAACAATTAAAAAAAAATGATTATGACTCGACCAAGCGTCAAATGATGGCCAGCAGTCTTTAAGCAATAAAAGTATATTTTAATTAAGGGATGTAAAGAGTTTTATTGGACAGATTCCATTGCACACTTAACAGACCGCAGCAGAGCCTAAACGTAACCTCGCTGTGCACCGAGACAGCAACTCGTCCCTACAGCCAGTTTCCTGCGCCAGCCACAGCTTCAGTGTCTTCACGCTGAGCCACTCTGCAGCACACTCCAAACGAATGCAGAGCTGCAGCGATTTCTTGGTAGGGAGAGAAAGGGTTATGTTCTTTTCTGGGGAAGAGACGAGAAGAGCTGATTAAAGCTCTCGTTAAAAAAAAAATTAAGCCGGGGCTGGGGCAACAACACAGCCGGTAGGGCGTTTGCCTTGCACGCGGCCAATCTGGGTTCGATTCCTAGCATCCCATATGGTCCCTCAAAAGCACCGCCAGGAGTAATTCCTGAGTGAAGAGCCAGAAGTAACCCCTGTGCATCACCGGGTGTGACCCCCCCCCAAAAAAGAATTAAGCTGTGTCAATAAGAAAAAAAGAGAAAAAGGAAGGAAAGAAAGAAGGAAGGAAGGGTGGGAGGGAGAAAGAGAGGGGAGGGGAGGGAGGGAGGAAGGGAGAAAGAAAGAAAAAAGAAAGGGAGAAAGAAAGGAAGGAAAGAGAAAAAAAGATGGAAGAAAGAAAGAAAGAAAGAAAGAAAGAAAGAAAGAAAGAAAGAAAGTGAGCTGTGTGGCCAGCACAATAGTACAGTGGGCAATGTGCTTCCCTTTCACATAGCCGACCCGGGTTCGATCCCTGGTATCTCTGAGCCTGCCAGGAGTGATCCCTGAGTGCAGAACCAGGAGTAACCCCTGAGTCACACCCAAAAAATACAAGGAAAGAAAGAAAGGAAGAAAAAAAGAGAGAAAGAAGGAAGAAAGAAAGGAAGGAAGGAAGGAAGGAAGGAAGGAAGAAAGAAAGAAAGAAAGAAAAGAAAGAAAGAAAGAAAGAAAGAGAGAGAGAGAGTTGCGAACAGAAGGACAGTACAATGATTGAGTTCAATCCCTGACACCCCTTATTGTCCCCCCAGCCACAGCTAGATGTGATTCCTGAACATAGAACCAGGAGTAAGCCCTGAGCACCCAGAGTGTAGCAAAAAAAGAAGATACAGTTTCCATGAGAAATGGAAACAATAAGAATAGTCAGACCTCTGAAAACAGAGTAACAAGCATGGGCTCAGAGCCAGATATGACACAGTGATCCATCTACAGCTCAGTGGGAGCACTAAAGAGGGGTCCCCAGACCCCCAGATCTTTGGAACCTCGGAAAACCTCACAAGAGATCCAAAAGCACACAGAAATTTAGCACAGAGTACAAGTAGTGCTTCAGATCTGTTGTGGAAAAAAAGTCAATAAAACGCACTAGGAAAAATGGGAGGGAATTTGGTGTATAATAAATTCCAGATGAACTTAGAATTTGTTTTCTGGCCGCTCCCCACTGGTACTCTGAGGCTTTTTTTTTTTTTTTTGCTTTCTGGGTCATACCTGGCGATGCACAGGGGTTCCTCCTGGCTCTGCACTCAGGAGTTACTCCTGGCAGTGCTCAGGGGACCATATGGGATGCTGGGAATCGAACCCGGGTTGGCTGCGTGCAAGGCAAACTCCCTACCCGCTGTGCTATTTCTCCAGCCCCACTGAGGCTATTTCTGACAGTGTGCTGGGGAGCCACCCCCACAATGCTTTGGGGACCATTGCAAGGTTGGGGACAGAATTGGGATCTGCAGGGTGCAGAGCAAATGCCTCAAACCCCATCCTGTATCTCCTGGCCCTGCAAACGGAAAGGACGTTGCATAGCCGGAAAAGGATGTTTTTCTCTCTCTTTTTTTAAATTTGATTTTTATAAGGTTGTCACAATAATTCATTACGTTTAACATTCGAACACCAATCCGACCACCACTGCACCTTCCCAACACCATATTTCGAATGTCTCCACCCCAAGTCCCAAACCGAATTTGCCAATTCCTGGCACCCCTTATTGACCCAAAAGCAGAACCGAAACAATTTTGTATTGCTTGTTATCATTTGCTAAAAATGGCCCAATAAGGGTTGGAGAGATAGCACAGCAGGTAGAGCGTTTGCCTTGCACGCAGCCAACCCGGGTTCGAGTCCCAGCATCCCATATGGTCCCCTGAGCACTGCCAGGAGTAACTCCTGAGTGCAGAGCCAAGAGTAACCCCTGTGCATCGCCAGGTGTGACCCAAAAAGCAAAAATAAATAAATAAATAAAATTAAAAAATAAAAATAAAAATGGCCCGATAAAGTTTTCTTAGAGGAAAGTGTGTGAAGACTGCTGGTGGGATTTTTTTTTGTTTGTTTATTTTAGGGTTTTTTTGTTTGTTTTATTTTTATTTTTTGTTTTTTTTTTGCTTTTTAGGTCACACCCAGCAATGCTCTGGGGTTACTCCTGGCTCTGCACTCAGAAATTACTCCTGGCTGTGCTTGGGGGACCCTATGGGATGTCAGGTATTGAACCCGGGTCAGCCACGTACTAGGCAAACACCCTCCCCGCTGTACTATTGCTCCAGCCCAGATTGTTGTATTTCATCCTGGAGCCATTAAGCCTTTATGTAAGAGACTAAAAACATGTCTGTTAAACCAATCAAATGTTGTGTGTTACTCTTGGTATTTCAGTGACATAGAGCATCAGAGGTCATGTGCTCCAGGACTTCTAAAATTTAGAATATGATTATAGAGCAGATTCACTTATGGTCGAGGCCTACGTCGCTCTCTTCTGGGAGTTTTATTTCTGAGTCTCTGGGTCTTGGCCATTGATGAGATTACATGGCGCCAGGGGCAATTTGTGGATGTGACTACCAAGCTATTGTTAATTTGGGAATTTGCGGGAGGAGGCCCAGTCCCACTCTGAGCGAACTTGGAGGTTTTAGTCAAGGGTCCCGCATACATGGGTTTCTCTGCAGATTCACTCATAGATGAGGCTTATTCAAGACTGTGGAGAGTGTCCGTGAGCATCGCAGCGATTGAGTTCTGGAGGTTTCTGGCTGCTGGGGCTCTGTTGGGGTGGGGAGGAAGACTCACCCTCCCCACTCGAGTTCCCCCTGTGAAGACAGCCTGGCGCGGGGTCTGGACATTCTTATGTTGCTCTCTCTTCCTGATGATTTTTCCTTATTTATTGAAAAAAAAATCTTATATGTCAACCAGGAACCAGAAATGAGCAAAAGACACGGACAGTTCACAGAAAAACAGACATTTGGTTCCTACATCATCTAAGCCAGGCTGGGCTGGAGCTTAGCAGGAGAGCACCCACCTGTCTTGCATGTGTGAGGCCCCAGGTTCAAGTCTTGAAACCACAACAAACAAAAACCATCTGAAACAATTCCTGAGCTTACACAGAAAAAGAAAGCACACCTTTTTTTTTTCTTTTTGGGTCACACCTGGAGATGCACAGGGGTTATTCCTGGCTCTACACTCAGGAGTTACTCCTGGCGGTGCTCAGGAAACCACATAGGCTGCTGGGAATTGAACCCGGGTCGGCCGCATGCAAGGCAAACGCCCTACCCGCTGTGCTATCGCTCCAGCCAAAAGCACACATTTTCTAAAAGAAGAGGAATAAATAAAAATGAATGCGAATTAGAACATCTGGAGACAAAGTGCTTGCCTGACGCTTTGGCAAGGTTCGAGTCCTGGCCCCCCACAGGGTCTCTTAAGTCCTGCTAGGAGCACAGAGACAGGAGTAAGCCCTGAGCACCACCAGGTGTCACTCAAAAATGCCAAAACCAACCAAACCGAAAAAGCAATACATTGGAACGTCACCGAGACAGTTCTGCTCTCATGGGATTGGCAGAGATTTTTAAAGCTGTACACGCTGGGGAAGTGGCTCAGTGAAAAGGCAACATGCCTGCCTATGTGAGGTCCTGGACTGATCCTGGCACCAAATAATCATGAGGATGATTGAATGTTCTGGAAAATGCACGCTCCTGGGAGTCAGTTGGGAGTAGCTTTTAATAAGCCACATTTACGAAAATTGTCAAAACGGCCAACTTTGGGGCTGGAGAACCCTAAAAGGCAGAGCACAGGTTCTGTCTGCAGGAGGCCTGGGTTCAATCCCAGGTGAATCCCCTGAGCACTGCCAGGAGCAACTCCAGAGCACTGAGCCAGCAGGAACTCTGAAGCACCATCAGGTATATGACCCAAACGAAACAAACAGACAAACGACCCCTTTGGCTAAGTGCTATGGACTCATGCCCAACCTTGCCCCTGAGAGTGCTGGAGCCCGAACAAGGTCGCTTTCCAGGGTCTGGGGGTCGCTGGCGTTCACTAAGGAAGCAGTGACATCCGGGGCCTCCATGAGGGCTGTGACCACACAGCGGTCAGAGGGCATGTGGGACCAGAACTGCCTCCAAAGCTCAGTGATAAGGACACAGAAGCTGTCGTTCTTCCTGTTGAGGTGCGGTTTTGAGGAGCCGGGGAAGAGGGGCACCCTTGCAACCATGCTCAGTTCTGCTGGTGGCTTTAGCGCCCCCACACCAGGCAGTGCTGGGAATCAAACTCAGGGCCTGGAGAACATGTCATGCACTCCGCCCCTTGGAGCTTCTTCCTGGGCACGAATTGGAGGCTTTTTTGGGAGGAGGGCCACACCCAGCGGTGCTCAGGGGTTACTCCTGGCTCTGCACTCAGGATCTCTGCATCTCCTGGCGGTGCTCAGGGTACCATATAGGTGGCCGGAGATCGAACCCAGGTCAGCTATGTGCTAAGCCAGTGCCCTCCCCGCTGTGCTACTGCTTTTATGTACCGAGGTTTTTAATTTTTTAAAATTTTATTTTATTTATTAGCTTTTTGGGTCACACTCAGTGATGCTCAGGGGTTACTCCTGGCTCTGCACTCAGGAATTACTCCTGGCAGTGCTTGCGGGCCCCTATGACATGCCAGGGATTGAACCCGGGTCGGCCGCATACAAGGCAAATGCCCTCGCTGCTGTACTATTGCTCCAGCCCCCGGCTTTTTAAAATTTTATTTAATTTTTTTATTTTTATTAGTGAAACACCATGAGGTACAGTTGTAGACTTACAAATTTCTGTGCTTGGGTTTCAGTTATACAATGACCCAGTAACCATCCCTCCACCGGCTTTTTTATTTTTAAGGACATGGATAAAGGACATGGAACACATGTCGATTAGGTGTGCTGTCCTTTCTCCGACCCCACACGGCACCCCAAAAACAGGAATTTTCCCGACACCAAATCTATGTTGTGTTCCATGGGTTACTCCAACCCCACAAGCTGCTCACAGTGCAAGGCTGATTCTAATCCCTGGAATTTCCATAGTCCCCATAAGATAGTCCTCACTTCAGATACCAGCTGTCTGGGGGTGCCCCTGGGACCCCCCGACTCCCATTGACTGACCAGATTGGGCAGTGCTACACCCTCCCCTGACATCTCTGAGCTTCTGGAAGAGTCACCACAGGACTCAGAATCCGGGTTGGGAGAAGCCTGGGGGGAAAGCTGGGGGTACAATATGTGGGGGGGGGAGTGTGAGGTGAGCCCCTCTTCCTGCTCCTCAGCCACCCACCCAGAAAACTCTGCATCTCCATGGGAGATGCTAGAAGTTACCACTCCCAGGTGGGCCATCTGGAGCCCTGTCCCCACCCTGAACCTACTCAGAAGTCAGAGACACCCCATTAACACAAACTCGCCACCACTAAAAGGATGCCACAGGGGCGACAAGACCCCCCCACATGTATATGCCCCCACAAAAACACACAAACATGCAACCATACACCCCATCACACAAACACACACAAATACACACACACATACAAACTACACACAAACACTTACCCCCCCCCCACACACCCACACACACTCAAAACTTCCAAGGGTTTTAGGTGTCCTGTACCAAAAACCAAGGACAAAGACAAAAGATTTATTCTTTTGATGGCTTGGGGGCCATACTCAGCAGTGCTTAGAGGGCCATATGCGGTGAAGGGGATGGAATCCACCAAATCAGCCCCGAGCTATCTCTCCAGTCAAAGATTAAATATTGATACGAGTGCCTACCACCTCTGGTTACAGTATATTTGTAGATCTTTTCTCTGGAATTAGTCATCCATCTAATGGGCTAGAGCGATAGCACAGCGGTAGGGCGTTTGCCTTGCACGCAGCCGACATGGCCGACCCGAGTTCGATTCCTCCGCCCCTCTCGGAAAGCCCAGCAAGCTACCGAGAGGATCTCGCCCGCACGGCAGAGCCTGGCAAGCTCCCCGTGACGTATTCGATATGCCAAACACAGTAACAACAAAGTCTCCAATGGAGACGTTACTGGGCCCGCTCGAGCAAATCGATGATCAACGGGAGGGCCTTTACCTTACCTTTACCTAGTCATCCATCACATGTCATTTTAATCAACCCCAGAATCCCAGAGCACATGTAAGATCATGACAGTCCCCCGTCCTTCCCACACACCCGAACTAAGGCATAGAACTGAGTCCAGGCAGGTTCACGTAATTGTGCTGGTATTTGCAAAGATGAAGTTCTTTGAAGGGAGAAGATGCTTCTCTCCAAACACAACCTCCGTCATTTGCTGCTTCCGGGACGGGAGCCAGGTGATGGGAGCGGGGTGACCGTTGGTTCACATTGTAAAATGTAAATATGCGGGGAGTCCGGTGGCAACCCCCGCCTTAGCATTCCCACCCACTGCTGGGTGTGGCCCAGAACAACGCTTGCCAGTGTGCAGTGCCCAGGGTCTAACCCAGAGCCTCCCACTGGCAAGGCGAGTGCTCCACCACTGAGCTACATAAAACAGGGCACACTCAGGACTGGAGAGATAGTCTGGCCCAGTCCAAGTCCCCAGTACCATATATGGTCCCCTAAGCACCGCCAGGAGAACTCCTGAGCAATGCTGGGTGTGATCCAAAAACCAAACCTAGGGCTGGAGTGACAGCACAACATGGCCCACACAGGTTCGATTCCCAGCATCCCATATGGTCCCCAGAGCACTGCCAGGAGTGATTCCTGACTGCAAAGCCAGGAGTAACCCCTAAGCATCGCCGAGTGTGAACCAAAAAGAAAAAAAATTAAAAAATAAATAAATAAAATAAAAATAAATTCCTTATAAAAGGGGAAGGGAGCTAAATTCAGGGGCTGGAGGGTGGAGCCGGCTTCCGTTCCTGGCATTCCGTGGTTCCCTGAGCAGGTTCTCACTGCTGAGTGCTCCCCCGCCCCACAATAAGGGATAGTAAGCGTGAATATAGACCCTATTTGAAAGAGAAGTGATGGACTGGAGCGATAGTACAGTGGATAGGGCATTTGCCTTGCACACTGCCAACCTGGGTTTGACCCCCGCATCCCATACGGAACCCTGAGCACCGCCAGGAGTAATTTTTGAGTGCAAAGCCAGGAGTAACCTCTGTGCATTGCCAGGTTAAAAAAGAAAAGAAAAGAAAAGAAAGACAAGTGACGCGTGCTTTGTCAGGTCTTGGATCCTGAATTCCCAAGCTCCAGTTCCCACGCCCCGGAACCACACGCTTCTCCCATTCTCCCATCAGACCCTAGAAGCTTCTATTCGAGGCCAGCCACAGTCCTCCTGCCAGTGACCCCCACAGTTCACATTGAGGTTCCAAACTCTTTGAGGAAGAAGCTTGCCTCACCTGGGGCGGGAGGTCGCATATTACAGACAATGTAGTGGGGGAGATGAAGTCACCAAGATCACCAGGAACCTGCGATTTGAAATGTTTTATTTTGTTTTATTTCATTACACAGTAGGGGGATGGGGTGGGGGTAGGGAGGTCACACCTGGCATGCGGGCAGGATTACTCCTGGTTCTGTGCTCACGAGTGACCTCTGCTGGCGCTCAGGGGATCACGTATGGGGCTGGGGTTCAATCAAGACAGGGTTGGCCACATACGAAGCAAGCACCTTACCTCCTGGACAGAAACCTGCAATGTGAACTTGTGTCTGGCCAAGAGACCAGGTCAGCGAAGACCCTGACTCAAGATTTGAGATTTTACAAGACTCACTTCCCCGGAGGCTCGGAGTGATAGTACAGCAGATCGGGCACTTGCCTTGCATGTGGCCAGACAGGGTTGGATCCTGGCACCCTGACCATCGCTAGGAGTGATCCCTGAGCACCACTTGGTGTGGCAAGAAGAAGAAGAAAAGTAGGAAAGAAAAGAAAAGGAAGCAAAAAAGAAATCTTTCCACGTCCTCTCCACCACGGCAAACTTGGCTTCAGGCTCGCTCCAATGTGCTCTCCTCTAGCCCTGACCAATAAGAAATATGCTTTTTGGGGGGCATGGAGAAATAGTACATTGGGTCAGGCACTTGCCTTGCTCACCACTGACTTGGGTTCAATCTCCAGCATCCCTGAGTCCCACCCAAAGTAATCCCTGGGTGTAGAGTCAGGAGTAAGCTGCACCCGGTGTGACCCAGTGCCCCCAAATTTGCTCCTTTTGTGGGTGGAGTCCCAGTCCTGGCAGCACTCTATGCAGAGCTAGGGACACCCCCCAGGGTTCCTGCCTACAAAGCAAGCGCTATCTCCCCCCACCCCCAATAAATTAGTCTTTTAGGTTCCCACATCTCCCTCAGGAGGGAGCGCACATATCACTGGGGTGATCGCATCATATCCGAAGGCAGTGCAAGGACCAAATCTTCTTTCTGGGTCAGCAGGGGACAGTCCCGCTGGCGTCCCAAGACTGAATTTTCCACTCGAGACTTTTGTCTTTTCTCAGAACTGCCCCTCCCCCGACTCATTCAATCCTCTCCACCATGTGAGAGGGGAAACTGAGGCTTAGCAGGTCCCCAAGCTGGTGACTCCCTTCCTCTGTGCCTGACCCCCATGGTCAGGGGGCCCCCGGGGCTGAAGTGCGGTGGGTGTCCCCTGGACGTTCTATTCCCCGAGGTGGGGGCAGTGTGTGGACAAGTCACCGTGGGCGTGGGCAGCGGCGCCAGCAGCAGGCTAGCGTCAGTGGCCGCGACATGGGGCCTTGGGAAACGCTGTAGGGAGAAGCACAGAGCCTCAGGAGCATGCCAACACAGGAGGCAAAGCCCGGGGCCTTCACACATGCCTCCCCTCCATTATGGGGGTGCCCTCTGCTCCCTATAGCTCCTGCCCACGACTCACCGTGGAGGGTGTAGACACCCGGCTCCAGGAGCAGCTGGGGCGACAGCAGGAAGAAGAAGACGCCCCTCCAGGGGTCTCCAGCCACCAAGCACATAAGCTTGGGAGGGCGGGCGGGGCCACATCAGGGTTGGGGAGAGGCAGCTGGGTAAGACTGGCAGGGACTGGAAGCGTTGGCTGCAGGGGAGGTGGTGGCCAGGGGGGGCATCACAGAGGGCACATTGTGGGGGTGAGAGACCAGGGCCCTGGGGCAGGGGGACCCTGGCTTCGAGGTCACCCCTCTGGACACCCCCATGATGGGGTCTCCGCATCCGAGTCCAGGCCCAGTGGGAGGGCTCTTTGGCAATGACCTGGCAGGGCAGATTGGAGAGTGAGCAGGGGTGTGCCTGCTCTCTGGCACCCCCCGCTCCTGGCAACCCTGCCAGCCTCACCTCCTCACAGCACTGGCGGCTCACGGCGGCCCTAAAGTCCATCCGAGCCCACACACGGTCCCTCTGGTGCAGAAAATCCGACACGCGACTCTGCCAGTCCTTGCCCAGGGCCCAGGGGAAAATCACGCACTTGGCATGCCTTAGATCCTCCTCCATATCATTGGCAAGGAATCTGCCCACAGAGGGGTGCCAGGGTCAGAGCTGGGGTCCTGCTGGGGCACCCAGCCGCCTCCTGCCCACCCGACTCACAGAGCCAGGAACAGATTCTCGAGGTTGTACTCGCTGAGCCGCAGCTGGGCACGCCGGAAGTAGACCAGCACCATGGCGAGCAGGTACTGTGGACAGGGGTGAGGTCAGGCCCTGTGGGGTGCAGGGTGGGGGCTGCACGGGGCACCCAGGGCAGTTTCTGGGGGAGGGGGAGGAAAGCCAGCATGGGAAGCAGAAGAGGAACCTGCAAGCACAAGGTTTTGGGGGTGCTCCCCAACAAAGCAGGGCGCCCAGACTCAGCCCCCAGCACCCCCTCACCTTATCAGAAATCTGGAAACATGGGTCATTGGACAGGAATTCCTGGAGGAGGCTGTGCTCTGAGGGGGAGAAGGGGGAGAAACAGGGGTTGGGGCAGCCCCACACAGGACAGAAGAGGCAGCTGCATTCCAAAGGCTCCACCAAACCTCATTTCTGAAGTCACGTCTCTGCACCCCCAGACGGGACCCGGGAGATCCAGCACGCGTTGTCCCATCATATGGGTTCCACCCCGGGTTCCCCGTGGCTCCCCCATGCCAGCGCCCCGTGGACTCACCCAGCAGACTGAGGAAGGCCTGGAGCTCCCGGAGCCCCCGACAATGGGGACACCCACTGCCCCGGCCCGGATGGGCTCCGGCTCCACGCTTCACCTGGGTGGTGACCACAGGGACTGAGGCTGGGCCCTGGGTGTCACTCATCTCATATGGGTGGGCCGGGGGGGCTGGGACCTGAGGAGGAAACGGCCCCAGGGCTTACACCGTCCCCTCACCCCAACCTGTCAGGGGAGCCCCAGGCCTGAGAATTCTATAAGGCTGAGGGCTGGGAAAGGCGGAGCCTTGTGGGGCTCAGAGCAGAAGGCAACTGGGACCAGTTGAGGGGTGGAGAGCCGAAGATGAGGCAACACTGGCACCACCCAGGCCAGATGGGCAGCCACAGGCCCCGAGGATGGGGGGCTCCTAAGTACCTGCCTCCATCTGATCCACCCTGAGAGCAAGCTCAAGGGGCCCCTTTTGCAACCCCCCAGACTGAAGCCTGCAGCTTCCGGCCACTTACACTGGATTCTACTGGACCCCAAAGTCAAGAGAGTTCTACAGCCCCGTGACCCGCAGTAGAGCGGCGGACTGGAAAAAAAAAAAAAAAAAACCTTTCACGGGGGGAAACTGAGGCCGGAGGCAGGAAGGGCATCAACAAATGCTGGGGTTTGGGACAAATTGGGGTGTGGTCTTTTAAGTCACCTGGAAAGAGAGAGCCCAGCTAGGGAGCCGCGGGGCAGGCGCCCACAGCGGCGCAGCCTCTCGCCAACCCCTTCCCCCCCTACCCCACCCCAGCCCTACCTGAGCGCTGAACCGACTCGCAGCATCGCCCCGCGCGCCCTGGGCTGGTGCCTCGTCCCCGCGCGGCCCCGCCCCGTCCCGGGCCTTCACCAATCAGGCCCCTGATCGGCCGGGGACGGGGCTCTGCCCATCACCTTTACCTGCGCTAGAACCCAGTGGGCTCCACTCGCCTCCCAGCTGCGGCTGCCCAAAGGCAACAGCTTCTCCGAAGTCTCATCGCCTCCCAAAAGGGTGGAGGCTGGCCAGCTGGACCCGGGCCGGGAGGCGGCAGCTCCCTCTCCCCGCTGGACCTACGAGCCGGGGGCAGGGCCTGAAGCGAACCCCGCATCCCCCGGAGCCGGGGATGGAAGATCTTGGCTGGTCTTGGCGTGAGAAATCAGGGGCCACACTCCCTTCCCAAGGACCTTCGGGGGCCGAGAGAGCGTGGGGGGCGCTAGTGGTGGGAGTAGAGACCTCTAGCCTAGGCCGGCGAGCGCCCCCAGTCCCCCTCGCAGCCTGCTGGGGGTCAGTTCGTGGTCTGTGAGTCTGAGACAGCGCCCACAATTCATCCTACATTTTAGTAACCCACCCCTCACCCCAATTCTTAGTTCGGTGGTTTTAAGTGCACTCACGTGGCTGCTACCCCACGAGAGAAACCGAGTCTCTCCCGCTGGGCACTGCCCCCTTGCCCCTGGTCTGTGCCTCCTGTGCTCCAGACGTCCTGGAAGCCGCCTGCGTTTTTCCTTTTGTGCGGGCCTGTTTCACTTAGCAATGCATCCTCGGGGCCTCCTGCATGTGGTTCCCACATGCTGACACCCCGCTGTGTGTCACACTTGGCTCATTCCTCTGTTGGTGACACTCAGGTCACTTCCATTGGAGTTATTAGCTTGTTTGTTTGGGGGCCACACCCAGCGAAGCTCAGGGATTAAACCTGTGCTCCAGGGACTATATGGGATAAGGGGGTTTAAACCTGGGTTGGCCATATGCAAGCCAAACGCCCCACTGGCTGTCCTCTCTCTCCAGCTCCTGGAGTAATGCGGCTTTGAATGCCTTTGTACAACGCCCTCAAAATCTTGCTCTCTGTTCTGTGTGTATTCCCAGAAGTGGAATTGCTCAGTTATAAGCCTACTCTATTTTTAACTTTCGGTGGAGATCCCAAATTAACTTCCATCATGGCTGCAACGTTTCTCATTCCCACCAATACAGGAGCTGGATTTCACCATGTTCTTGTGGATACTTACTATTCTTTGGTTCTAGCCGCCCTTCTAATGAGTGTGAGATGGGAACAGATAGCTTGACTTTTTTTTTGGGTGAGGGAGGGGTGCATTCAATGGTGCTCAGGGGTTACCCTTGGCTCAAGAATCAAGTGATTCAAGAATCACTCCTGGCAGACTCAGGGGGCCATATGGATCTGGGGATCAAACCCGGGTTGACTGCATGGAGGGCTAGTGCCCTCGCCACCGTACTATCTCTCTAGCTCCAGATAACTTTAAAATATGTGTTTGGGGGGGCTGGAGCGATAGCACAATGGATACGGTGATCACCTTACATGTGGCCGACCCAAGTTCAATTCCCCGCATCCTATGTGGTCCCTCGAGCACTGCCAGGAGTAATTCCTGAATGCATGAGCCAGGAGTAACCCCTGAGCAATGCCGGCTGTGACCCTCCCAAAAAAAAGAAAAAAAATGTTTTTAGAGGCCAGAGAGCACTATAGGATGAGACATGAGATGGGGGCGTCAGAGTTCATTCCACAGCACCGCATGGTCCCTCTGAGTTGGAAGTGACCCCAGAGCACAAGTGGGCATGGCTCAGACAACAAAACCCAAAAGATGTGTTCAAGGGGCCAGGGAGATCACTCAGAGCATGAGAGGAAACCTTATGTTTCCCTGAGCACTGCTGGGAGCAACCCCTAACACTGAGCATTGCTGGGAGGGACCCCCCCAAACACTGAGCAGTGAGAGGGACCCCCGACATTAAGCAGGAAGTAGCTCCACACAGTACTAGACGAGCACCCCCACCCCCCAGAAAAATGTAGTTAAGAGAAAGGGAGGCCTGGGAAGCTGAATCCCTTTGGTTCTGAGTCCCATCAGGATGAGAAGCGTCATGAGCGTGAACTGGTGCTGTGGAAACTATTTATAAACCCTTCTAGTCCATGAAAATGTGTGAAGAGGGTTGGAGCAATAGTACAGCAGGCAGGGCATTTGTCTTGCACTTGGCTGACCATGGTTTGATCCCCAGCATCCCATACAGTCCCCAAGCACTGCCAGGAGTAATTCCTGAGTGCAGAGCCAGGAGTAACCCCTGAGCATCACTAGGTATGATCCAAAAAGCTCGATAAATAAAAAAGCATTATTAAAAAGACAGGCTGGAGCGATAGCACAGCGGGTAGGGTGTTTGCCTTGCACGCAGCCGACCTGGGTTTGATTCCTCTGCCCCTCTCGGAGAGCCTGGCAAGCTACCCGTGATGTATTCAATATGCCAAAAACAGTAACAACAAGTCTCGCAATTTGTTGTGAGATGTTACTGGTGCCTGCTTGAGCAAATCGATTGAAAAAGAAAAAGAAAATGCTTGAGGGAACAAAGTCCAACCACTGGCCAAGACAAAAGCTCAAGTCACAGCACAGAGAGCATTTGATTGGTTGGTTCTAAGGCCTCCCTGGGCAGTGCTCCAGGATCACTTCCTGGGGGGCCTTCAAGGTTGCAGGGATCGGGGATCGAGCCCTTTGCGAGGCAAGACCCTTACCTGTTCCATTTCCCTGGTCTCACAATGTGCATTTGAGCCGATGAAGTAGGTCTTGGTGTTCTCACCCCCTTTCTGAATGGCAGCTGTGGCTCAGGGGTGCTCCCTGACACCTGCTTCTGATGCCAGGGATGGGACCAGGACTCAGGCCCGCGGAACATGAGCCCTGGCACGGAGCCACTTCCCCAAAAAACCTCCTGGTGTTTGAGAACATGCAGTGAAGGAGACGTGAACCTGGGACAGCTCAGACCCGTGTCCCTAGGGCATTTGGTGGGTTCTGGGGCCTCACCAGGGAATGCTCAAGGCACTAAATATGGGCTCCTATCTGCTGCCTGGTTCAACTCTGCCCTGGTGGCCACTGGACATCTTCACTGGCAGGGATTCCTCTGCGTGCATGTGTGTGTGTGCCAGGCCCTCAAGGCTGGCTCCAGCCTCCCTCCCGCCCTCTTCCCATCCTTCCTCCTTCACTCTTTTCCTCCTTTCCTTCCTCTGTTCATCCTTCTGCATTTTTTTTTCTTTTTGGGTCATGCACAAGGGTTACTCCTGCCTCATGCACTCAGGAATGACTCCTTGCAGTGCTTGGGGGACCATATGGGATGCTGGGGATCGAACCCAGGTCGGCCGCGTGCAAGGCAAACGCCCTACCCACTCTGCTATCACTCTAGGTCCCCCCCCCTGCATTCTTGCTTTCTTCGTTTCCTCCCTTTTTCCTCCTTTCTTCCCTCCATCCCTCCTTCCCTTCCTGCTTCTTTCCTCTCTCCCTTTCTTCCTCTTTCATTTCCTCCCACTTTTACTCCCCCCTCCTTCCTTCCCGCCTTCCCTCCTTCCCTGTGCCAGGGATCAGGGATCGGGTCATGGTGCAGGGCTGCCAGGTTCAAACAGCACGGCCACCAGGACTGCACTGGCACGCATAGGGCACAGGAGGTTTGAACTTGTGTCCACACCCTCGCAAGGCTAAAAAGCCGCATTCCCTGCCACTGGTCTTCAAACGCAGGTCCGTGGATCAGTGGTAGTGTGAAAGTGTAGACAAATTGAAAGCCCATGGTCTCCCTCAGCAGTTCAAAGGCTGGTCCAGGACTAGTATGGAGGGTAGGCATGGGTGCACAGAACGCTGCTCTGTGCCACTGGACTGTCCCCTCTCTAAACACTGTCCCCACTGTAAGTCCTGTGCTATCCCCTCTTTAAACCACTAGACTGTCCCCTCTCGACCCCTGGACTGTCCCCTCTTGGCCCCTGAACTGCCCTCTCAGTTGCTGGACTGTCCTGTCGGCCTCTGGACTGCCTCGTCTTGGCCCCTGGAGTGCCCCCCCTCAGCTGCTGGACTGTCCCCTCTCGGCCCCTGGAATGTCCCCTCTGGCCGCGGGACTATTGGCGCTGCCCTTCCTGAGGGGCACTGCCCTGACTTCCTCTGAGGCCAGAAGCACAGCACCCCCATCTCCCTCCAGCTGCCGCCCTTCTTCAGTCCTTTTTATAAGGGTACAAACAGGTTTGTCACTTCATCAACTGCAAAAAAAATGACGTACTATTTACATTTAAAAGGAAAGTCAGGGGCTGGAGAGATAGCACACAGGTAGGGCATTTGCCTTGCATGCGCCCAACCCAGGTTCGAGTCCCAGCATCCCATATGGTCCCCTAAGCACTACCA